ACAAATTCAGCTATGTTTAAAAAATAAACAGAACATTTGTAACCACCAGAAATATCATCTGTACTTGTGTTTACAGGTAGAATTTCATTTTCTTAATATTGTTCTGTTTTACAAATTGGTCTTAATATTTTATGTTAAAATGTTCTGTAGAATACCCATGAGATTTTTCAAATAAACATTAACCTACTGAGTTAATTGCTAAACTTCTTTTTGGTTTTTGCTATCTTATTCATAATTAAGATGTAGTAAAACATATCAACTTATATTAATGAGTGTGACCTTTCCTGGGGAGTTTTGTAAGATATTTTATTCTCAACTTAGCTCAGATTTTTAAAGATAAAAATCTTATTTTACTTTATAGGAATACTTGCTTCTTGACATTATTGAGCACAGAAGAACTTGCTAGCAAGAAAGTATGTAGTGGCTGCTCTGGAGCTAGACTGGACATCCCCAATGCTTACATCTTCTAATTAGATCCATTCTCCCTAGCACACAGGCTGGGTCGGGGTTGCTACAGGTCTGCCGAGGACCTCCTCGCCCCACCTGTTATGATTGGAAATATCTGAAACAGGTCAGGCATTTTTCCAATTTCCTGCAGGGGTGTGCTCTTTTAAAAGGGATATAATATCTATCTGGAAACAAAATTCATGAGTGTTGCATCCCCAATGACCAAAATAGATCCTGACATTACTAGATACCCTATAATAGGTCTTATGGGAATGAATCAATAAATGATATCTAGGAAAAATACAGTATTTATTTAGGGTTCCCCACCTTGTGCCCATTATAACAAAGTAAACTCTCTTGACAAGAACATGAAGCTCTTAGTATCTAGTACTTGGGTTCGTAACTAATTAAGTAATATCTAAAGTTCTTAAGGTACACGGTAGTATCATGAAAACAGGCAGTATAGTATAATGGTTAAAAGTTTGGACACAGGGTGGCTGGCTTCAAATCCCAGCTGCACCTTATTCTTTGTACAACCTGGGGACATGGAACTTCACTTTTCTTTCTTAAAACAGATGGTAAAAGCACCAACTTCACAGGATATTTCCAAGAACTGAGTAGCTCAAAATATGTAAAATTCTTAGACCCAAACACATAGTATTTGCTTTGAAATGATTAATTTTAATGTTTATACTCAGTTTGAAGTCTTCCAATAAATTAGCTTCTTAATATTTCTGTTTTGTTTTGTTTTGTTGTTGTTTTTTAGTTTGTTTATTCTTAGTAAAACAAAACTTCCTGTGTCTCAGGGGCTAAGGGAAGCTTTTAAAAATTATAAAAAGACTCAAAGCCTTCTTGGACATCAAATAGCTCTTACAAAACAACATTTTGATGAGTTAAGTGTAAAGGAATCAAAAACATACGGATTAAATTTCCTTTATAATACACATGGGCTTAAAATGAAGAGAAAAGTGCTTAGCAAAACATACTTTGGTTTGCCAAACCCAGAACACTGAAAAACAGTTCAAGACACTCTGAAGACCAGGAACAGAACCAGATCCCCCCACCCACCACATCCATAGTTAAAATCCCCACTCACATGCATCTCTGAACCCCAAACTGCTCCACAGCTTGTCATCTTTTGAACTTTGATCCATCTCAAAAAATAACCTTCCCCCAATTTATCAACAGGTATGGTGCACTTAGGAAGTAACACAAAGCAGTTTATAACTTAGAAGATTAAGAATTTATCATCTGCATATAATTTTCACTTTAACATTTTATTGGAGATAATGTATTTGAATGCAATAATAAGTGTTCATTTTAAAATTAAGATGTAGATAATGTCTTATGATAAATTGATATTATATTTTTGTTTGCAACATAGCTATGACTTGGAGGCAACTTATAAATTTGAAAGTGTTATTCAGGATCCAATAATACTCTAAAAAGTGTTTTGTGCATAAAAATATTTTTTAATATGACTTTCTTTTCTCAGGTATTAATACCACTCTAACTGCACATGTAATCAAGATTGCAAAACATGTAATTGCCTGCCATAGATGCTTTCCTTCTTCTTGTATTAAGTCCATGAAATGTTCAGTGGTTTTCCTTTAAGAAAAAAAAAACAGTTTCCAATTTTATTTTTATTTTTCTTTTTTGTCCAATTTATATTTCTTCTGAAACAAATTCCTAAACTGATCCCTTTTATAGATTTTCATAAAGAATAAAAAGAAGAAGAAAAAAGCATCCTGTAATACTAAGTGATACTCAAGAAAAACCAACAGGAATCAAAAATCCATGCTAATATTAATTATGTGTTCACTTCTAAAGAAACCTTTTTTTTTAAACAATGAAAGCAGGTATATGCATGGCATGACCTTTTTGTTCTCTGCGATGCCCTGCTACATTTGAGTAAACTAGATCTAATATCTTAAAATTCAATGCATCAGTTAGTAAGTCTCTGTAAATAAAATATTGGAATGAAGTAGAAAGAATTTATGTTTCTGAGAACATCTTGAGATTGGAGTGTGGCAAAACTCAAAACACATTTCTCCATTTTGAAATGTATTCTATCTTTTTTTAATCTTTAATGACTTAACTAAAAAAAAATGCTGATTTTAAATGTATTCTACCCTGTTTAAGACCAATCTACAGTGTCCCCTTCCTCTAGAAACTATTCTTTTTTTTTTCGAGTAGAAGATTTTCTGCTAAAAGAACTATCTTAAGAATGAGTATTGATCTTATATGCATATACATTGCCTCATTTTAAGGACTCATTAAAATTTGATGAATATATATTCAGTGGAGTATATCTCCTTGGTTTTACAGTAATGTCACTGAAGAACTTTGTATAGGATTTATTATAATCAGCACCAATACCCACCATACTCACTATTCTGGCTTGCCCAAAAATTTTTTTCCCAACATATTCAATATCAAATTTACTGAAGATGTTATTTTGGCTCCCAAGGCACAGGGAGGCCCTTGATGAATGTGTTTCAGTTATAAAACAAAAGTATTGCTCTTCAAATAGAATATTTTATGATGGCCCATTCCACTTGATATAAATTTTGATTCTGATGATCAAAAGAACCTATCTATGATGTATTCAGTTTTTATCTTAGTAAAATGTAAAATATGTCAATATTTTCAGAATTTTTTTCATCCATAGAGAGAAGGACAAGTCTAAATTAGTTTAAAAACTACTAGATAATTTTCAATAAAATGTTTCTGAGTTAATCTAAAGTTTTTGAAGGGACTCAAAATAATATAAATTACCTTGCAGGTATCTTTAACACTTCAGTTATTATCTTGTCTATGTGTAATATGCATATCTGAGAATTTCTGGAATAATTTTAATATTTGCAAACTGTTTTTCACACTACAAAACTTTCAGAAATCTAAATTGTGATATTAATCACTTAAGAAAGAGCTGTTTACATGAAAAAAATTCAGCCCAGACACTCTCTAAGCCATCTAAAATATGAAATAAGCTTAAATCAAATTAGTGAAACTTTATCAAAATTAATGCACATTATACAAAGGAAATACCCAAAGATGCTCACTACTCAACCTATTTCATAACAGTTAATTCACAACCTAAATCAATTATTAATATCAGTATCTATAAGAACATTTGTGGTCTCTGGCTATTCACTGACACTCAAGTATGTGTCACAGCTGTTGGATCACATACAGATATTTAAAAGCCTAAGACACAAATCAACGTAATTTCTCTGAGGAGCTGATGAGAAGGACTCTGGGTTTACTTATTTATCAAACACATACTGAAAATCCAGTAGGTGCTAGTTACCAAAGAGGAACAGCAAAATGTCATGGTTTATCCATGCACTGTTAACGTACTTAAGGTTAAGGCTCAGAAACCTCAAAAACTACAGAACAGAAATCTCAACTTTCATTTTATAGATGAGGAATTAAAGTCCCAGAGAGGTCAAAAGATTTATTTAAAGTTAGTGTCAGGAAAAGATTAACATTAAACAAAGACGAGTGGGGGGAGAGAAAGGGAGAGAGAAGGGAAAGCATATGGAAATGGTAGGAGACCCTCAATGTTACACAAAATTACATAGAAGAGGATGTGAGGGGAAAGGGGGGGGGGGAAACAAGGGAGAGAATTGAACAATAGCAGATGAGGTAGAGAGGGATGATGGGAGGGGAGGGGAGGGGGATAGTAGGGGAAAGGAAAGGTAGCAGAATACAACAGTCACTAATATGCCATTATGTAAAAATGTGAGTGTGTAACCAATGTGATTCTGCAATTTGTATTTGGGGTAAAAATGGGAGTTCATAAACCAATTGAGTCAAATGTATGAAAGATGATATATCATGAGCTTTGTAATGTTTTGAACAACCAATAAAAAAATAAAGTTAGTGTCATTTAGTGTATATATAACCTAGAAAAAGATCAAGCTTTTTTGACAGCGTCTATTGCATAGTTAGTTTATGTAGCCACCATTTATAACTGTATTGCCAGATAATTTTCTATGTAGTGCTTTGGGTCAAAATAGTTTTGTCTGTTGTTTCCTTTAAGTACATCTCTATATGAATATGCAGTTTGGAATAACTGTAATTAAATCAAGGACCTCAGCTGTTTCTTGTTTGGGCCATTTAATTTTCTTATATGCCATTGTCTTAAGTCTGGTCAGGCATCTCACAAATATGTTTGAGGTAAACTAGGTAAGAAAGGACAGCTAAATCAGAAAATGGGAAAGCGAGAGAGGATCCTTTTCTTTTGCTAGAAAAACTACTCAGATTAAACATCCTATACATTCTGTGATAGCCTTCCATAAAAGAGAGTAACTTCAACTAAGTTTCCATGTGATTGCCCTATTACAGGTTCCAAGAACTTAAGCTAATTAACCTATGAGAATAGCTTGTAATTGACACTTCAAAATCTGATTGGATTAATGTAATTTATTGCATGCAGGCTCATATAAAGTTAATCTCATTACTTGAAGTCTACACCTAAATTCTTAATATATTTCCTCTAAAATCTGCTTATACTATTCATTAATTTAGATGATTTTGTTTTTTAGGTATTTTACAAAACTTTCAACCAAACTTTGTAAACATCTCTTGAGACACTGTAAAAATTCTCAAACTCCTACATTTTACAAGATTTCCTGGAATAATGCATGGCTGTGATGTCCAGGGGAAAACACTGTGCATTTTCATATGCTCAGACCAGAAGTGTTGGAGATTCCACTGTGGAGCCACTCCAGGTCAATCAGAAATAAGGTAGGAAAATAAATATTTTACTTTTTTATCATCCACTTTTATCAGACACTTCTAAGATTCTTTTTGTAAAGCTCTATAAAAGATCCCAGCCTCAGTCAATTGCCAGTGATGGATCCATCTCCATAATGTACCCTTGTTTGGTTTTTCCCTCTTTCCACTGCACCATCTTTGTCCTCCACCACTGCTCCCTGGGATCACTTTTAAATTAGCCACCTGCATGGCAAGACTTTGCCTAAAACTCAAAACCCCATTTTTATTAGTTGGAATATAGTTCTATTTTTTTAAAGTTTTTTATTTGATTTGCAGTTTAATTTTTAATAAAGTTGAAAATTAAATAATAAACTAATCCATAGCTAACATCATTTTCATGCTCGAAAGTGGGAGAATGTTGGGAAATTGGTGCCAGTGTAGTTTGGGGTCTTCCCAAATGCCTAGAGAAAAACAAAGAAAGAGAAATTAGATAGGAAAACCAAAAACCTTTGAACAACATTTCCAAAATAACTAGGCAAAGTATTTTAACAGAGACCAAAATACATGAAATTAAGAGACAAATAACTTATAGGCACAAAATATAAATGTTGATATCTTTGTGGAAGAAGTCAGAGGAAGGCAAAAAAGGATCCCACAAACCCAAGAAGAAAAGGTCTAGAAGAGAAACTGACACTGAGCAGGATTTTGCCCACTCATTAGTGCTCAGTGCAATTTACCACTGCCCTTGTAAATTCTCAAAAGTGACAAGGCTTTTCAGGACAAGGCTTCACAGTAAGCAGACACTCCCTGCAGAAGAATCAAAATTGAGAAGAATAGAAACAATGGAGACAAAGGGAAAGATTCTAATAAAGTGCATAAGTGGAAAAAAAAACGGAAACTCAAAGACAGCAAGTAACCCAATTTTTCAATACAAATGAAAATAATGAAAGAGTTTGCTCTGCGATGTTAAAAAATACATCTGAATCAAGCCACTTTCTGAAGTTATAGAAAACTAAATACACATAAAAATAAGCAGAAGGAAAGTTTTAAGGTCAAATCCCACACAAAAGTTATTATAATAAAAGAGAAAATATGAAGTAGAATCACAGTCTTTAAATAATTACAGCATTACAGAAACATGCTCGAAAAACAATCAGAATTATAACATTTCAAAAATGAGTTAAAAGACATTAAGAATAAGATGTGTTTATTAGAGAAAATTAATCATAAGTGAAAATTTCAGAAATGGATGACAGACTTAAAGGAAAAGTTGGAAATAACTGGCATAAAAATGGGCATATAGATTAGTGAACTAAAATAGAGAGCTCAGAAATAAATTCATGCATTTCTGGTCAACTGATCTTTTATAAAGATTGTGAGAACACACAATGGGGAAATGACAATATTTTAGGAGAAAACTAGATATACACATCAGAAGAATGAAATTGGACTATCCCACACCACATACAAAAATCAACTCAAAGTGGATTGAAGTCTTAAAGGTAAGACCTGAAACTGTGAAATTATTAGGAGAAAATATAGGGAAAAGACTTCTTGGCAATAGTATGTATGTTAATCAGTTTTGTGTCACTTTGCCCAAAATATCTGACAAGAAAATTTAGAGGAAGAAAGTTTATTTTGGCTCATGGTTTTAAGGATGTAGTCCATGGTTGGCTCTGGACCCAGGTGAAACAGAACATCATGGCAAAATGTATGGTAAAGAGAAAAGCTATTTAACTCATGTCAGCCAGCCAGTAGCAGAGAGAGGGAAAGGGGCCACAGAGAAGATGCATCCTTCCTGGGTATGCCCCCAATGACACAGCTCCTACACACACACACACACACACACACACACACACTGGAATATCATTCAGAGTTTAAAAAGAAGGAAATACTGCCATTTGTAACAACATGGATGGATGAAACTAGAAAACACTATGTTAAATGAATAAAAGCCAGACCCCCAAAAGATAAATACCATGTGATCAAACTTCTGTGAAATCTAAAAACGTCAAACTCATTGAAGTAGAGAAGAAAATTGTGGTTCCCAGGGACTGAAATGTGGGGAAAATGGAGAGATGTTGGTCAAAGGGTACCCGTTTTGATCATGCAGAACAAAAAGGTCTGGAAATCACCCAGATGAACAAGGTGACTGCCATTAATAATAAAGTATTGTGCACCTGAAATTTTCTAGGCATAGCTCTTAAGTGTTCTCACCACAAATAAACCATGGCAACTATGCAAGATGATGGACATATTAATTAACTTGACTATGGTAATAATTTCACAATGTACACATATATCAAATCATCATGTGGTACAACTTAAGTGTGTACAATTTTTATTTGTCAGTTACATATTAATGAAGTTGTGAGAAAGCAAATAAACACATAAAAATGCCTTATGAAAAACTTTCAAAAATAAGTGAAAGGTGTGGCAAAAATGTTGAACTCTCATTTAAATAGGTGTAGCATTTCTTTGAGAGGAGGATAAAATTTTGTGATGGATAGTAGTGGCAGTTACATAACAGAATAAATGTACTTAGTACCACTGAGCTAGCTATACATGGAAATGGTTAAATGATATACCTTATGTTATGGATATTTTATCTCAATTTAAAAAAAAACAAATAAACTTAAAGGGAAAGGGAAAAATGGAAAAGTGACATATATAGATCTTGATCTAAAAGTTGCTTTAAAAAAACAAGAAGGTGAACAAATATAAATAATAAAATTTAAGAAAGTTTTCCTAAAATTAAAAAAAGGAAAAAACATATTAGAACATATACACCTGAGAACGTTGACCCAGACAACCAATAACTACACATAATTTAATAAAAGTAATGAACTTTAAAAAATAGAAATAGCATCCTTTTTGCATCTATGTAAAAAGAACACACTGTTTATGAGGCAAAAAAAATACATTGTCATTTGGCTTTTTCAAAAAACTTTTAATTGACAAATAAGAATCGTATGTATTTATGGTGTACAATATGTTTTGACATATGTATTCGTTGTAGAAAGATTAAATCAACTAACATATCCATTACCTAGCATCTTCCTAATTTTGATGTGTGAATATTTGAAATCTACTATCTTAAATATTTTCAAGAATACAATACCTTGAAATATTGCTATATAATGATCACCATGTCATAAGATAGATCTCCTGAATTTATGTCCCCAAATACATCTCTCCAATCCCATACTGGTCCCTGGCCTCTGGTAACAATCCACCCACTCTCTGCTTCTATGAGTTCAATTTTTTTTAAGTTCCACATATAAGTAAGATCACATATAAATGTCCCCCAAGTTCATCTATGTTGTCACAAATTACAAGATTTTCTCTTTTTTTGACAGCAATATATTATGGCAGGAAAAAAATAAAGGTAATGCATTTAAGACGCTCAAGGGAAGAAAATATAAACTGTATAAAAGTCTTCAAAAAACAGTTATCAACATAGAAGAATTTAGGGAAGGTCATTCTTTGAAATTTATTGAAGAACAAGGTTTAGACAATTGAAACAACTTCAGGGACATTAACATCAAAACTGGGGAAGGGGCTGGGGTTGTAGCTCAGTTCGTAGAGTGCTTGCCTAGCACATGTGTGACACTGGTTTCAATTCTCAGCACCCACATAAAAATAAAATAAAGGTACTGTGTCCATCTACTGTTAAAAAATGGGGGAGGTCATTAAATGCACTATTACTCATAGAACTAAGATTTAATGAGAAAGGTATCATAGACTATAATGGCTAGGTAATGTTTTAATATAGATATAGTACAATGTTGTTAAAAATTGGTAGGGAAAGAATAGCAAGGGTATAAGGAAAGAGTTTTAGCTGTTTTCAGTAGTCACAGTGGTGACCTTAGTTCTGTTATTGCTGAGGCTGTTGTATTTGTAACACAGGAAAGAAAGTGAATATTCTGGAACATTCTATTCTATCATTCCCTAAGTTCTGGAGAATCAGGATTCTCAGTGTAGAAGGAAGAAGATACAAATGTAATAAGGAAAATGAAAGTAAAAGCACTGCAATTCTGTATTTGAATTAGAAATGATAGGATAAGTTGCTGGGGGCGGGGGGAGGGAACTAAAAGACATGTCAAATGTAGGTCCAGTGAGAAATCTTGCAGCCTGGATTGTGGTGTTCATAAACTATTTTCTATTGAAAAACACCAGGGCTTCTTAGAGAAATGGCTGATTCCAGTTCTGCAGTTAGAAATGTTCAAGATGATCTGAAATATTTTGACATAAGAGAAATTAAGGAAAAAACATTCTATGATATCAAACTGAAAGATGATCCCATTGGCCAAAGATGGGACAATGAAAGTATTGGGGAGGATAAAATTAACAATTAACAAAACTTATCAAATATATTTAAGTCTAGGATTTTGCAATGATATTTAAGATAAAATTAATTGATCATCCTTTGAGGATGACAAAAAATCACTTCATAACTTTGAAAATGTAGTAATAAAAGAATCAAGCATTTACATCACCTCTCCTTTGGGAACTGTGTTACTAAGTAACCAGATAGTAGATGAGAGGAAAATATTGTCTCAAAAGATTATCCCAGTTAAATAAATGAAAAAGAGTTAACGGAGTTATATTGTTACCTTGTTTTGCAATTCCAATAAATTAATGTGTGTAAGCTTTGAATATCAACTGCTATAAATATTTAAAAAGAGCAAAAAACAGATATTATGTGCTTCTTGATAAAAACTTATCATTTTGCCAAAGAGACTTAACTTGGGTCCAACTATGTTTCTGGACCCAGCTACCAAACTTACAGGAAAGACAAAGGACAGCGGAACATATGGAATGACCATTTATTCTGGAAGGCCAGATGCCTGGGGTACTCATAGATATGATGTAAGAAAAAGAGATAAATGTCTAAAGAAATTGTAGGTTAAAAGAAGTACAAAAAGTTAAGTTTTTTAAAAATGGGTAAGAGTGAACTGTATAATATGTATAGGTGTTCACTCAGGTGATTAAACCATTAGGAAACACAAGGAAGTGATTACCATACA